TTAACAGTTTCGACAGTGAAAGGGCAAGAGCGAGATGCCAGCCTAGTTGATAGCTTAAATTCATGAAGTCTGGGGACCAGCGAAAGCAGCTCATTGGAGCAGTTACCGTGAAACTATTTGTAAAAAAATGCAAAGGGAGGCGACGGCACGTCTCTGAGAGAGCGACTGCACACGAGATGCCAGATCAGGGCAAATTACATTGCATATCCGTCTCTGGATCTTATCAAGGACCGTAAATGGCAGCAATACTCCATGCAAGGGCGAATGGTTGATTTGTAGTGTTGAAGGATCGACTCCGGCGAGAAAGATTTCCTGGCGCGGCACAGGGAGCCAACTTTCCTTGCGGTGGACGAAGCTATTGACTCAATGTATTTGTTCCATCTCAGGTCAGCAGTCAATGTGAGACCGAGTAGTCGCAAAAATCCCAGATCTTTAAATGTTTGTGTTTGCTTGATTTTGGTATCTTCAATTTGTAATTTACATGCTGGACTGTATCTTTTGCTAATAACCATGCATTCTGAAAATGATGTTAGGACGCAAATATACGAAGCCTAGTATACACATCATGTCATCCTAATTGATAATGTTATGTGTGGCACATGCTTCACAAGCGAATGCGCACGATTTGTTGTGAGATTTTGACAAAAGAGCATACAACTATGTAGGTGGGATTCAATCAGAAATACCTTCATCGAGTAACCCAACCAATCCAGAGAGTTTTTGGTTAAGAGTTTTGCGAGAGAATCAAGATAGAATCCGAAACAGCCTTTTCATCAAAGAGAAAATCCTTAACGACATCTGGCTATGGTACACCCACCTACATCCGCTCATCAACAGAAACTGGTCAGGCAACTGGCAACAAAGCATTTGGTACAGAACGATATAATTACTGTTATCTGTTATAATTCACCATAACAAGACTTGTACTCCATAATACGTCTAATCAGTTAAAATCAGAAGCCGTGACACTTACGTTTGTTGCCTGATTATTATTATTATTATTATTATTATTATTATTTTGTAGTAGTAGTAGTAGTAGTAGTAGTAGTATGTTTCCTTTGGTTTCTGGCGTAAACTCCTTTCTTCCCGTGTGCCAACCAGAGACCGAATGCCAAGATAGCATCATGAGATTTTCCACTAAGCATTTCTTGAGGAATAAAAAAAACTAAAAAAACAAAAAAAAACTAAAAAAACAAAAAAAAACAGTCTAAGATCACACATATCTTACATCGATAAATCACTTCGTAAATTGTGGACTGTCGAGTACAGTTTTTTTTTTTATTTCTTTAAGGCTTGAGCGACCAGAAATCCCTTCAGTGAGTCTATTATTATAATTATTATTATTATCATTTTTATTTTCTTTGATTTCTGGCGTTTACACATTTCTTTCCGGGTCCCGCCCAGGGACCTAAGGTTAGAAATGACATCATGACACTTTCCACTGACAAAAAAAAAAAAATTACATAGATAAAGCCCTTCGTAAAGTGTGGGCTGTACTTGTCAGAACAATATTTTGTATCTCCTTGAGGCATGGACTTCCAGGAATCCCTTCAATTAGTCTACTGCAATCTTTTCCAACCAGTCCTAGGGCTCCAACTACAACAGGGATTGTTGATGTTTCCATATGCCACATTTTCGAGATTTCTATTTCAAGGTCCTTGTACTTTGACAACTTTTTGAATATCTTCAAAGATACATTGCAGTCAGCAGGGACAATAAAATGGGATAAGGAAATCAAAACTAAAATAAAGGCCAATGAACCGTATAATTAAACCGCCCTCTTAATATTTTTAGACATTCAGGCGTGTCTAAGATTCATTTTTATTCATACTATTATATAAATCGTTTTTAAGTATATTTTCTTGCTTAAAATGTTTTGTGCTTAATATAACAGGGAAATGGAAATATTTCTAGAGTGAAAACGATTAATGACAGAACGACAAAGACAGTGATGACAAAGCTTTTTTCAAGAGCAACGTGAAGCCAGACAATAATTTAATAGACAAAGGTAACTTAGTGCCACACATGAAAGGATTAAACAAACAAGATGGTGTTGATTGAAGAATAAAGAATTTCCTCTTTATTCTGCAATTAACATCATCAATTAACAAGACACCAGAAGTTTTGAAACAAAATGGGCATTTTTTGTAGTGATGTTATAACATGTTTATGTTATAATTTTTGAATAAATACTATTTTCTCTACTCTGTATTGAGCACTCTTTTAAGAATAGTGTTTTAGTGTATATATATATATATATATATATATATATATATATATATATATATATATATATATATATATTGTGTGTGTGTGTGTGTGTAATGGTAAAATGTTATAAACTTTCATTAACTTATCTATTAGTCCAAAATAAAAGAAACTTTTTTTTCATCGAAGTGACATTGAATCCACTAAAATAAAATAAAAAAATAAGTTTAAAAGCGATCTATGGGTAAAAAGAAAATTGAGACCCACTGAACTAGATGATAAGGATCCTTCTCGGAATTTGAATTCTTTTACTAAGCCTTTGTTATTCTTTCACGTGAGACAACAATAGATATTTCTTCTGACTTCCATTTTCTTATACTTATATTCTAAGCTTGTCACATGATTATTATTATTATTATTATTATTATTATTATTATTATTATTATTATTATTATTATTATCGACTCATAGAATATTCAAATCCGTAGTTATGATTGGCTCAGACAGGCGTTGAAGGATGATAAACCTCCTCAATGTTTCAACAGGTTTCTCTCGCTCTCTCTTCAATAAAGTTTTCATTTGGATTGATCCAACTCTTCCATTATTTCACAGTGCCTCAGTCGTAAAAGAAGAGCGTTCTTTTTTGGACCTCGACGACTGGCTATATAATCTGAATGAAGAACTACCAAATAATAGAAACCACAACAGTAGAAGAGTTTCAAGATCAGCAACAACTAAAATGCATAGCACGTGTAACTCGTAGAAAAAAAAATAATGACATAATTATGATGTTGACGTTCCACACTATTTCAAATAAAGGTTAGGAAGGAAAATCTTACTGGATGTCACAAACCTATTTTACTGAAAAAATATTTTAATAGAAAGACTTTGTAAATATCACTGGCTATTCTGTCAAGAAATCCTTTTTCCTTGTAAGAGAAGGAGTTTAAATTACCATTACCATTTTCAGTTTTGTCTCAAGGTCAAATATTTTTTTATCTTTTAGTTTTTTTGTTCTATATTTTTGTTTATTTGTTTTTCAGATCTAACCTGTTGTCTTCTAAAAATAACGAAATCTATTGTCTGGCATGTTTCCTTTGTGTTTACTACTGAAATAACCAGTCCTTACCCAGATTGCGTTTAAAATTTAAATACATAGATCTTTATTATCCATACAATTCGCTAACCCTCACTATATTTCGTATCAATAATGTTTTCGTTTCTTTCTAAACGTGTTCCTAAAAAACGTCATCTTTGTTACCAAGGCAATACGTTAGTCATATTGAAGAGGTTTGAGTTTTCACAGGGTTAATTCCTAGAATATAATCACGGCCAATAAATCGGGTTGGACGAAGAAAAAAATCACGTTGTGAAACCAGCTATGTATTTGCCTAACTATAACAATAAAGGAACCACGATATATGAAAAAAGAAAGAAAACAAAAGATTTCTAGTTTATCATTTTTATTGACCAATAATGGGACCCCCTTGATCTGAAAGCACGAACCGATACTGTGGAGAACCGTAAGCAGTCACGGGGAGTTACAAGTTTCACCCCGGGTGGATGAGAAGTATTCGTATGTTTTCTTACTGGTTTAGTCTGCAAAAAATAATCAGTGTGCCCTATTCTTTTTCCTCTTCGTTTTAATTCAATTTGATCGGATGCAACGACGAGAAGACAGTCCCCACATTATTTTTTTCCATCCGATTTTTTTTTTTGATATTTTTAAACAACTTATCAAATAATAGTTTGTTATTCGTGTAACACTTTTATATTTCTACAGTTTCAAAATATATACGGTGAAAACTTCATTATTATCATTAGAAGTAGAAGAATTTGAAGAAGAAAAATAATTATTATTATTAGTAGTAGTAGTAGTAGTGGTGGTGGCGTTTGTAATAGTATTTCAAATGCTTGGGAGCGGAGAAAATCTGTAGTAGCAGTAGACAGAGGAATGATAGTTGATCATGTTTATCAGTTGCCGGGTTTCTTTATCTTTTAATTATTGATATTTAACTCGGATATTATAATACGGCATGAAAACATTTAGAGAAAAAAAATACTTTTTATTTTACTGAAGATGCATACTTGACAGAACGATTAACAATGCAATAGATGGAACCAGGATGTTTTTTTTTGTATTTTTTGGAGGTGGGGAGGAGGGTTCTTGCTTCTTTTACATCCATTTTTTTTTTGTCTATCAAATTAGGAAAATTTCATTTCAATTTTTTTTTTTCCCATTCCTTAATTTTCTGTCGATTTTTGAGTCAATGGATTTAAAGGCCAAGGGAATTTAAGATCTGTGAACATGTGTAATTTAATAAAAGATTCACAGGAACATTTGGTTGGTCCCGTGAATCCTAACACTGCATATATATATATATATATATATATATATATATATATATATATATATATATATATATATATATATATATATATATGTGTGTGTGTGTGTGTGTGTGTGTGTGTGTGTGTGTGTGTGTGTGTGTGGTCTAAAGATCGCGTTATGTATGAAACAGACTGTTGTCTCTAAGTGTCGGTTCCAATCTCCACTTTTTATATTTGCATACGCTCTATCCCTTTATATTGATCACTTAACCCATAAATATAGCATACCTTAAAATTATATTTTATCATATGTGTTTGTGTGTGTGTGTAACTGTTTACTCACGAAAAGTAGAGGTTGTTTATTCAAGCCGAATAAGTTAATTTCAGAATGTTGATTGTCAGCGCCGGCAGTAAGGGAGGTAGATTCAGCACAATTGGAAAATCTGGCGCAACACCATCTTGTCTATTTTTCTTTTACTACACGACAATATTGAGGCTGATGTTCGTACTAGATAGCTATCGAGAATATATTTTCAGATGCTGAGTTGTGCCCGCCCGCATGTACGCCCGCACGTATCCTATATCAATTACGTTTAATGAATGTATTTTGGTCTTTTCAGCTTCCACCCAATCTCCAACGCTTTTCAAGTTGGACAATGAAAGTTAGTGTTGTTTCGTGTCACTGTTATCTAATTCCTTGCAAGTAATTTAGTTATGTGAGATTGTTTGCTTTTGTCCGCATTCATACACATTTTTTCTACGTCTACCCGATTGGCGGGATATTTTCTCACGTTCCGTGAGGATCAGACCGAGATGAACTGTTGTCCTTTCAAGGGATTTAGTGCTATGTTTTTTGTTTTTTTTTTTTAAGCATTTCACCCCAAGCAAGGTGGGAAGCCACTAGGACGCAAGGGGTTACAGAAAATTTAGAGCAAGATCAGATAGGAGTGATAGAAGAAAGGATGAGGGTAATGGATAGATCAAGGCAATTGGAGATGTCAGTCGACTTGAATAGCTGGAGATTATAGCTCACAGGGAAACAGGAATAGGGAAGGGAGTTCCACAGGCGAGAGGTGAGAGACGTGAAGCTATTAGAGTAGAAGAGACGGCTACATTTAGGAGTTTCGACAGTGAAGGGGTGAGAGCGGTATGCCAACCTCGTAAGGCGCTGGAACACAATCTGAATTTGAACTATATGCATATATCTTTATTTTCTCACTACGTGCATAGGCGCACACAAGATATATATGTGTACGAAAGTGAGACGAACGCATATGAAAATGCGTAGAGGCAATATAGAATATATCGAACCGTTTTTCTCCCTCCCTCCCTTTCAAAGCTATCAACATTTTTCTGTGTTTGTCACAATATATACCGTTACAGTATTATCACAGTCAAATTGCAACGTGAGAAGATTTAAAGCAAGGAGCTACAAAATAATCTACATATCATACAGATCTCGTCGACGATAAAATGATGTTGCATATATACTGTGATTTATTGAGGCAGACATGAGCATAAATAAAAGCACCTCAACGCGATGTAATGGTTAACAAACTCGTCTTGCTCGAACAGTTACGTCTGAGTAGTGAGTTCGATCCTCACAGGTTGCACCATATTTTCGGCCTTGTGCCACATCTAAGCTACGCTTAGAAAATTCCAATGAGAACGAATAGAAAATCCCTGTAAACAGGAAATACATTTTATTAACAAAAAATAAAAATGTAGTAGAAAATATAAATCCTGATTAATGACCAAACTGCTCCTAGTGTCATCAGCCCAATTTGAAAAATTTGTCAGGCCCGCTTTTCGGTTCTAAGCGGCCATGTTGAGAATATCCAATTCATAGTAGGCCTTATTTTTATTCTATATTTTAATTACATTTCAGAATAGAAAAAGTTTGGGGAATTTAAAAAAATATATATATTTGTTTCATTTTCATTCGTTTTTTTTTTTTTTTTTTGTCGTTCATCTTTCTTTTTTTTTCTCCTTTTTTTCATTTATAGTTTAGCATCAATCTGTTACGCGGACATTTTGACAGCAATGATCAACTGCTTCAGGCTATTAATAATAAAAAAAATATTTCCATCAGAAAAAAAAAGATTACTTTTACAACCATTTCAGTGTTAAGTTTGAAAAGGATTCTGTGAAACATGGGTTCTTAATAACGTGAACAGGTTTTCGAGTGATATTCAAAAGCGTTTTTTTTTTGTTTATTTCAATTATCATGCTACTTCTGCTTTAAGATTATTCCTTGCTACTTTACGTGTGTAATGCTCTCAAAAATGTTTAATATCTAGTAGCAATAAAATACCAGGTAAAATGTAGTTTTTATTTTTATCTTTCTCAACTCCTATTATCTGTAAACAACCCTCCCGCGTCGATGTTGTTGCGTTTAGTCCAGAGATGATGTAACTCGTAAACCCGTATTCCGTGTGTAAAAAATAGAAAGAAAAAAAAAACAGAGGATTGGGTGGATCGCACACTACCCGACTATTTGTCTCTATTTCACTCTTCTTTTTTTTCTCACTTCTTTTTTTTTTTTTTATATCTTTAGCCAAAGTCGCGTGAATCTCCTCGTCATTGGTAATTACCTTTCATTGAACAAACGCGCGTGCGCAAACGGGCGGCTATGACAAAAAGAAAAAAGAAAGAAAAAAGAAAGAAGAAAGAAAAAAAAAAGAAAAACGCGCCGCGGTTATCATCACGTGACGAGGCGCTGGGGCTTTGGATTGGTTCCCGAGTGTTGACGACCCGCGAAAAGCAGACGAGTGAGACATTGTAATGTGAAGTAGTAGTGAGGTTGGGGAGATAATTCCCGTAAGTTTTTGTGTGTGCGCATATATGTGTGCGTATGAGAGAAAGGGAGAGCGGGGAAGAAAGAATGAAAGGAAGGAAGGAAGGAAGGAAGGAAGGAAGGAAGGAAGGAAGGAAGGAAGGATGGGTGGGTGATTTTATCATGTATTTATTCCTTTCGTATTTTACACTCATTTTTTACAAACCATATTTTTCATCATATCCCACAGGGTAGGGACATTATCGCACAAACAAAATAACAAACGTTACTTTTAACTGAACAGAATGTTTATTCGACAGTCTAAAAAGGGGGGAAAACTACACGGATTTATTAATCAAAATTCTTTATGGGATTCAACAATTTGCTTAAATTTTACAGCCGTTACTCTATTTCAACAAGTAAAATTCCTATTTTTATTATCGCCTTGTTCTTTTCTATTTTGAAACCGCTTTTAAAATTTACTTTTCTTTCATTACAATTCTTGAGTAAAGTTTTGAAACGTTTCTACTGATATTTTATTTCTTTTATTCCTTTAGAGATAAGATAATGACCATTGTGGGCTGAAATGTTAGTTAATTAATTGCACGTTTGTTTTAGGACTTTTAAATAGTTTAGGAGTCAAATCGTGTTTTCAACACTATACAAGATTGAGAAAGGAATAAAAAATAAAAGTATAAATAAAAAGTAACAAGTAAAATATCAGGCTACACACGTAATACCGGAAGATTAGTTAAGGTCTTAAAATGTTTCCGCTTGTTCTCGTGATCAACGAAATAGGATTCTGTTGATCAAAATATCAACAAATTAACCACGCGTATTTGTTAACATTTTAGTAGATTTCAGTCTTGTTTCGCTTAAGTAAGAAAAGAGTATTGTTGATTTTTACTTCATTATTTTAACGAATTCACCACGATGTCTAAAACTTTAGACATGTAAAAAAGATTAAAATAACAAGTAAGTAGTGATTTTGTTGTGGCCTTGTTAGGGCCATAAATAAAGAATTGAGTTATACAATAAAGAATTGAGTTAAACAAATATATTAACCGAAACAGTAATACAAACATATACAAACGAGAGTGTTACAGCAAGCATGTTCGGTCCGACTGTCAGAGCTGACTGCTGGAAACTTCCCCTACAAAAGGCAGTACCTGCTCCTATTTATAACTGGGAGTGTCCATGCGTGCATGGGTATATTACCATAACGTATTTTTTTATGGGAGACTGAGCTAAATGGTCTAGGACTCTATGCAGTATTTAAGCTGACTTCAGCAATGCTGTAAGTCTAGACGATACCTACATATATTCTCCGGGGTACTTGTTATTCAGAAAGATTTATTCATCTATTAACTCCATATGCAGCAGCGAAGTTCAATACGCTTAACAGAAATATTTCCATTTTCAACTTCTTTATCGTTCTGTTTTAATATCTGCATAATATTTGTTGCTATGCTCGTAGGAAAAATGATTACAGTATAACTAACAGTTTTAGTGTTATCAAATCGTAAGCTATCGATCAGCGGTCTGACGCTATTGATCTCTGGTGTTCTAATAAGTGAATTTATCTTTATTATTCTTTTCTTAATGCTTATTCTTACTGGCTACGAAACTACGTGAAAAATACACAACCATTAAGGTTCAGGTTCCAAGAAGTAAACCTACACGACAAACGTTGACAAATGCATACACATAACGACGGCCGCGTTAATGCAATAAAGGAATTGCTAAATTTAATACCATGAAAGTATAGAATTAGATTTTATCGTAAAAATACCAGCAATATATGTTTCAAAAAAAAAAAATCATGACCAGCAATACATTTGACTCTCGACGAAAACCCTCTTTACAAAGATACAATGAAACTTGATCTACAACTTGATTTCCCACAAATAATACATATTCTATTCATACGAATCTATCCTAAAGATCTTGTCGGCATTACATAGCTCATTGAGGTTCATGTGCCGTAAAGCAAAATAAAACAAACTAAACCAATCACAGCGAGAAATTATTGAGCTGGCTGGTTAAAATAAACTCCAGGTTTCCTCAAAAGAACAAATTAATTGATACATAAACATTACCTCGTTTGTTACGTTCCTAAGAATAGTCTCGCATAAGACAACTGCAGACGTTAAAATCGTGTCCTATTGATCATCTAATCTTGACTTAATATACGAGGGTAAGTCAAAAACTATCTTCACTTTCGCGATAAAATGTCTAGGTTTATCACACTGCTTTATAATCAAGCGTGCTGTTAGGTGGTACTATTGGGGTCACGTGATCAAAATTTGAGCTTGCTGATATTATAGTGAAAACATGGCCGCTCCGCTAGAAGTTAAGGAGGAAGTGATTTCTCTGGTCGAAACGTGCGTCAGGGGCTGAAATTCATCGGAGGCTTTTAACACAGCGCGGCGACAGTGCCCTACCGCACAGAAATGTGTATGAGTAGACGCGGAAGTTTAAATATATGGGAAGCTTCCTGGCAGAGGACGGTAAATGCGACACTAAGACCAGTAGAAGTATTGTGATTTTTCCAAGCCTAGCTTAGACGTGGCACAAGGCCGAAAGTATGCGGCACCCAGTGAGGATCGAACTCAGTCGTAACTGTTCTAGCGAGACAGGTTGGCTAACCATTACACCGCCTCGAGTTGCCCGAATCCGTAGATGTAATGTGATGGCCAAGGACGCATTCAAATAGTTGGACAGTGTATTGCGAGACAGGAGGATTTTTTGGTAACAAAGAAAAGAATACTGAGCTATTACGTGGCATCTGTCCTTCTTTACGTCAGGATATATTGGAAGATTTCTTCAAAGTTAAAGGAGAGCCTCGAGGCGACCGTGATGTGGTTCTACAGAAGGATAATAAGGATAACACAGTTGAGTGTGTGAGCAATGATGAGGTCAGACGTTGCAAACAATGAGGAGGCTTATACATAATATCAGGAAGAGGCAGTTGAAGATTCTGGGACATAGAATGAGGAAGAAGGCCTGGAGAATCTGATACTCACGGGTTGAATAGAGGGAAAGAGAGACAAGGGAAAACAACGCATGATATAGCTAGCGGCCTTAAGCAAATGGATGAGAGAAAGTGGTCTTTAGAGGTGGCTGAGGGAAGGAACTTGTTGACTGCTGCAAGAGATAGAAGGAGGTGGAGAGCCATGATCGCCTATGAACTGAAACGTCACGGCACAGAGAAAGACGATCGAGACGTTTAACAGTGGCCGGACAAGAGTGACGCACGAAGAATTAGAAGGCCACCCGTCAATCCCGACTTCTGACGAGAAGATTCAGCAAGGTCAAGAGATGGCAATGGCGAACTGGCGAGTTATCATCGATGAGCTAGCGTGTTCTCTGTAGATTCGGATCAATGATCTATTAAAGGCATAATGGATATACGAAAGCAGTGCATAACTTACCTAACGAACGTGTAAATAGTTGGTAGAATAGGGATTCTTTTCTTTTTTATGTGTCGTCTGCTTAAAGAACATAGCCGATCATGACTCTCTACTTTCCCCTATCCCTTGTAGCTCTCAATAAGCTTCATATCTCTGCCAACTCCCCCAGACCACGTTCTGACATTGTATCTTGTCCTGAGAAAATGGGCGTAACAGAAAATGGCATTCACTCGCTGAAGCCCGCCAGGTATGTCATGCGTTGCTTTCCATTGTCTCTTTTCCCTCTATCCGACCTGGGTGTATCAGTTTCTCAAGGCCTTCCTTTCTCATGACAAAAAGATAAAATTTGTTAAGGGCCACAAAGTAATGGAAGATATGGAGGACCATAATAACTCAAGTATTAAAGGGAGTAGGCACATAGAAGAATATATTAGGTTGGTGCAAAAATAATTTCGTTTTCTCACATAGTAACATCTGTTAGAAAACGAAATTATTTTTGCACCAACCTAATATAATTGAGTCAAATCTAATTCATCAATTAACCTAATAATTTCAGCTGACAAAGGCAAATTAATAATGTAAATTACTCTATTTCTTTGATTCATTTCATGAAATTTTGTTTTCGATGCTGGGATAAGCTATTTTGGACCCTGTAGCTATAACGAGGCCCTAAGTTAAATAACACACATATATATCGCATCGTATATTATTTATTTAATTATTAAGGAGGAACGGTCGAGTAATGGATAGCGGCTCGGATTGAGGAATCGGAGAGCCAAGTACGAATTCCAGTCAAATCCATTACATTCACTTACGCACTAATAAACTTGGGAAAAGTATGAATCCTCTTCCTCTCCCCCAGCTATGAGTAAATAGCAGGACTGACCGGTTTCTATAGCCTTGGATAGCATCTGGTCTACTTCAGAAAGAAATGGCAACCTACTGTAGGAAAAAAAAAATCTACCTCGTCAATCATATATCGAAAGATAAATGATCGCCTAAGCGTGTATCACGCATAGCGCATAACTGACAGATATTCTTTATTAGCATAGTGATGGAGCTTATAAAAAGGGTAAATATTTAAATTTCTGCTAACTTTATAAGCAGACCCAGAAAAATATGAGGCAAATGATGCTCACGTGATGTTTCAGCAGATTTAAGAGCCTCGATATAACGGTACCCGAAATGAGGAATAAATAAAGATGCAACTCAGATGAATATTAACATTTCGAGATCAGGAGATGATGATCTCACTAGACAGTTTGTATTTAACCCTCGAAACTGCAGGCGTATTTTTTTTCTCTTGGGTTTCTTTGTTTTGTTTTTCGTGGCTGTTTCTTGCGCTGAGAAAATAGTCGTAACAGAAAATGGCATAGCGATAAAGAATGACACAGGAAGAGAAGAATTCACAGGATGCCAACTAGTATGAGAAACCATTTCCTACAATCTATTCCTGCCATTAAGGAAGGTTATGTTTTTGTTTGCGTTGTGGTCTGCCAAAGACATCCTTTGAGAACAACTGACCCAAATTCAAACGCTGAAAACGGCGGTAATTCTCCCCCACTATACTGCTAACCGTGGTCAGTTGAAATATTTACAACAGCAGTGTCTCAGTGTTGTTAAATAATATGCATTACCGTATAGAATTACTATTGGAAATAGATTTTAAATAAACAAACGTGCTGTATTTAGCTTGAATAAATCTTAATATCTTTTATAACTATTAGTTAAACAACGAAATTAATTCTGTAAAACGATTTAATGATCATCAT